CGAGCCGCGACACTAGCCTTCTGTGGCCGTCTCTGATCCTCAGACCGAGACGGACCAGGACCCCTATGCTGTTCGGGCTTAGACCTGGACCATCGTGAAATGAAGGACTGAAGGCCGCTGAGCGCGCCTTTGCCTCCCTGAACTTCTCGACCACCGTCTCAACGGAGGTAACCAAAAATATTCGGAAGGCGAAACCGGCGCATCGAGAAGAAAGCCCCTCTCTTCCATCCGATATCTGCCAGGTTCACCCACAGATGTCTCTCAATACCTACTATAGCTGCCATGCTTAGTAGCACAGAGAGTGAGATCTGTGGTGCGGCGAAACTCAGCTACCTCATCAGGCCTTTATCCAGGTCTTCCAGCAGGTCAGCCTAATATGCCTGGAGCACCGCATCATGCGCAACGAAGCAACAGCCTGACCTGCTACTGCGTATGCCCTGCCATCTAAGCGAGATGGCAAGGAGGGAGTTTTAAGAGAGGACGTCTCACCCATAGAAAGATAGCTAGCCAGTCATATTTTTTACAGGGGCATCCTCTCATAGTCGTTTCCGCGCATCGCCTTGATGTTGGCATAACTCGTATGCTAGAATCGATGAATGCGTAAGAAAGATAACGCTCAAAACTCACCATACGCAGAGCAGGAGGATTGGGAAGGCTCAGCCTCAGGATCAGCTGTTTGGACTCTTATTCTGACGGCACCCATTCACTTGCAGAGACACTGATGCAATGCTACATTTCTTCAAACCTGATGAAGAAACAAACTCATTCTAATCTTGCATGAACTGAGGATGAGCACATTTTCATTTTTGGCAAAACTATTGCTTTAATGGCGGTTGGTTTGTTTTGTGCGCAGCGCCACCTCGTGGTTAAAAGTGATCTACTAGTCACTAGAAGTACAAGTATAGAAGACTAGAAATATCACAATAAAGCCTATTACAAACTATTGCTTACTAGCTTACTATTATAGAATTACAATATATAGTTTGATATTTCCATTTTATGCTTTGGGCATCTACTTCAAATGGTTGCTGTGTGTTTGTAAGCAGTCTGGTGTCATAAAATCTGTCTTTCATAATCATAATTTTCATAATCACCTAAAAAAATTTAAAATAAAAAAACGAGATTGAAGCAGTTACCACGATGATCCGTTTGCTCACAGCAAACTTCCACTATTTTGTCCTTTAATACATGTTTCTAGTACTTTTATAAATCCGTTATGTCTGTATTTACTGTTATTGTGTGTTTATTATTATTTATTTAGTTATTGATTATTTATTCGTGCGTCTCTGCTGTAACTGCATCACAAAAACAGGCCGAAAAAAACTCCACAATAACGCGAATATCATCATTAACCATTAAAAAATCGAAACATATCGGATTTTAAGCAAAGCACGTGAGCGGGAACCGCGTCTGGCTTCGAGCGCGACGCAGATCCGTTTCCGCCGGAAGTCCAGCGAGCGGAGAGAAGCACTTCCTGCAGAGTGTTTGCGTTGTTTAGTCTCTCAGACTCGCTGTTTTTCTCTCTTTATCATGGTTTATTCTCGTGTTGGTGTCTGCTGTCCGCGCTGACTGCTGTCTGGTGAGCGCTGCTCTCATATTTCATATCAAACATCATCATAATAATGCAGCATATGAACATAAACACGGCTTTTCTGATGTCCGTCAGTATTTGGTCGTGTGTGTTTATGCGCTAATACTTTAATAGATTAGTTCAAGAGCTGTTATGATTGGTTTTGTTTTTATTTTGCCCTTCGCTTGTTGTCGTGTTCTTTCTGTTTCACTTTGAGCGAAGGCTGATCAATACTGACAGAAAACATCTGCATAATAAAAGCCCTGTCATTCATAGTTTATGTTGTGTGTGCTAATATTGTCATATTTTACACTATATCAATTTTTCTAGAAATTATGGTTGGTTTCACACACAATTATATTACTATATTACACTGGAATATATTTAAGGCATTATAAAATATTATAAAATTGCACATAAATCGAAGTATTTTTTATTATAGGCTACATTTTGGCACAGTTCATAATAATATATTAATAAAGTAGTTGTTAATGTTCTGTAGAAATAATTCTGAATGATTGTTGTTTAATTGATTGATTATTAATCCGATCCATCAATATCAGCCACAACAGTCTATATCAGCACTAATGGCCAGTATAATAATAATAATTATCTGTTGTGCATTAAATGTTTTAAACTCTCTGACGCATTATTATAAACTCTTGTAATTGAATGCATGTTGTGTTATTTATTTGTTGATGATAATATCAATATTAATATGGTCCAGTGATCAGTTACAACTTTCTATATTGGTACATTGATGGCCAATAATAATAATAATAATAATAATAATATAGTTTACTTAAATAGCAACTTTCATGCATGAAATGCAAGGACAGAACATAAAAAGTAAATTAAATGTATAATATTTACGTAAAATGTATGAACATAAACATAACATATTTTTCTTAAATGTATACACGCATGTGTTTGTATTTATATATACATAATAAATATACACACATATATAATGTTAACAAAAACTTTTATTTTGGATGCGATTAATCGTTTGACGGCACTAATGTAAATATAAATATTTTATATATAAATCTAGCATATTATGTATGTGTGTGTGTTTATATATGCATAACAAATAAACAGTACACACACACGGGTCAAAGACGAAAAAGGGTTTAAGTGTTAAAAACAATAAGTGTAATACTGCTTTAAATTGTTGTTGTTTTTCCCAAAAAAATTAAAAAGTTTTCTGTTTAATGTAAATGCAATTTTGTTTTTGTTTTTCCGAGCACAAAATAAATATCATACATTTTCCCCTGATTTACAGAAGAGACGCACTAAAATATAATTCAGTGTAACAATCTTTGCATATTTACAACAAACAAAAATTAATTTATGACACATTAAAAGACTAATAACTTTCACCCCAAATACTAATTAATTTTTAAACATGCCTCTATCCTAGGTTTCGCCTGTTTGTCAGTACGATATTTTACTCATTTAAAACACAATAAAATTTAATATGCTCTTATTGCTTTTATATATTTTAATATGCACACGTCAGAATAAGCATGTTGTTTGAATTTTTACATAAATATTAGTGTTACACTGAATGACAATGTAACATTATTTCAACCAAATTGTAACATTTTATTCTCCAAACACTTAAAAGTAGACACTTTGCTTACATTCAGTGTGCTTTCTGTGGACATAAAATCACCTTAATCATCTTCACATCTTTGACCCACATATATTCTGTAAAGACAGACCTTTATTTTGAATGCGAGTGAATGCAGCCGTAATGTAAAGCCTGTGTTGTGCAGCTCTGGCATGGAGTCTCCAGCGGTGGATGATGATATCTGTATCCTGAAGCATGAGACGGCGTACGTCTCGCCCGAGAGCCCCGTGTCCGCGTGCGCCGGAGACGAGTCGGTGGCGTCTCACTTCGCTCTGGTCACCGCCTACGAGGACATCAAGAAGAGACTCCGAGACACGGAGAAGGAGAACGGCCTGCTGCGCCGGAGAGTCAAGCAGCTGGAGGACAAGGTCTTTAACACATTAAACACAAGTCTGTGGAGCACGAAGGGTTAAACACTGAGGATTGTGAAGCACTTCAATCTGTTTCAAGTGTATTGCATTTCTGAATGATGAAATAATTATAATAGTATCAAGTTGATGAATATCATTACATTAAGTGTTATTATTATTATTGAAACATTGAATATTATATTTTTGAAAATTCTTACATTATTAAAATTGCTATAGTTGTATTATTAAATCATTTTTATTGTGCTATTATAAATTATGGTGCTAAAATATTACTAATTATATTACATTATTAAATGTCATTGGTAAATTATTAAATATTTATTATTGAAATAATCATAATTATTAATAATAATTATATAAAAATATTTTATTGTATAAAATTATTCAATATCACTAGTAAAAGATAACGTATTATATTATTGGATTATTATTTTTAATTATGTTAGTTTATTAAATGTCACTAGTAAAATATTACATTTTTATTATTGAAATAATAATAATAATTTTTATTATTATTAATAATATCAGATTATGTTATTGTATAAAATTATTAAATATCACTAGTAAAATATAAAACTATTTTTAATTATGTTAGTTTATTAAATGTTAGTAAAATGTTAAAACCACTATATTGTTGAATTATTAAAGTAATTTTATTGATTTAAATTATTAAATGTCACTAAAACATTAAATATTATATTTTTCAGTTATTGAATTATTTTATTATTAAATCTTACTGGTAAAATATTTATTTTTTTATTGTTGAAGAATTATTACATTTCTATATGATTAAATGTTACTATTTTGTCAGATTGTTTAATTATCTTATCATTAAATTATTACATGTTACTTGTTAAATATTAAAGAATATATTATTGAATTATTACATTTATATTGTTAAATTTTACTAGTAAAATATTAAATATTTATTATTGAAATAATGATAATCATAATTAATATTATTAATAATATCAAATTATTTTATTGTATAAAATTATTAAATATCACTAGTAAAATATAAAAAAGTATTAATATATTATTGGATTATTATTTTTAATTATGTTAGTTTATTAAATGTCACTATTAAAACATTAAATATTATATTGTTCAGTTATTGAATAAGTTTTATTATTAAATTATTTTGTATTGTTGAATTATTACATTTTTATATGATTAAATATTACTATTTTGTCCGATTATTTAATTATCTTATCATTAGATTATTACAAGTTACTTGTTAAATATTTAATAATATATTATTGAATTATTACATTATATCATCAAATGGTACTAGTAAAATATTAAATGTTATTAGTAAAATCAATTTAAAATAATTGTTTGTTTATTTAGTTTGTTTGTAAAGCAAAAGTTGACACATTTGGAGCCAGTGATCACAAGGGTCTGAAAACTGAGAAATGTAAAGTTTTAAAGTGTTTACATGAATCATTCACTAAAAGCTGTTTATTCCTGCTGTGACGTGTGTAAGTCATCCAGTGTGTTTCCGCAGCATTTCCGTCCTGAAGCGCCTCCGTCTGAAGGACCGCAGTACATGAACAAAGCCTTCAGCGCGTACCGCGGCATCTACATCGAGAAGGAGGACTTACAGATGGAGCTCAATAAAGTGGTACTTCAGCTGCTCATCCTCCTCGTGTGTGATAGTCAAACCCTCATGAGTGCAGATGATAAGATGATTCTGCCTTCTCTTCCAGAAAAAGGAGAAGCTGGATTTAGAGAAGCATCTGACGGAGCAGCTGCAGGCCAAAGAACTGGAGCTTCTGCAGCTCAGATCGGAGATGGAAACAAGCCAAGGTGAGATATTCATATTTTCGTGTTTATGAAGATCATACTGTACAAAATCCGTGAATAATGTTGCTGCAAATGCTTTCTGTATTATCCGTTTATTAAATAATATTACATTTTAAATGATTAAATAGTATAGTATTAAATTATTCAATATTTCTTATGTTATTGAATTACAAAATTATTTTATATGATTAAATGTTGCTAGTAAAATATTAAATATTCTTCAAGAAAAAAATCAAGTTGGTATGTTTTCTGCACTGTTTCTCAATAAATTAAATTATATTAAATTAAGTATTATTCAGTTATCATGAAATATTATTGCAATATTAAGGAATATAATGTTATTTATAAATGCATAAATTAAATGCATATTAAATGCAAAATTAAATGCATATTCAATTATTAAAATTAAATATTACTATTTTAAATTAAATATTATTACATGATTAATGTATTAAATATTGTGTTGTTAGAAAAATAATAAATGTTGTTGAATTATTAAATCATTAAGAGTGGCTAGTAAAAAAGTAAAGTTGTGAATTATTAATTACATTTTATATTGTTAAATGTTACTAGTAAAATATTAATAGTATTACTAAGATACAGTAAAAACCTAGTTTAAATAATTAACTTTCTCAGCAAATGAACACAAAGATTATACTTAATAATTTTTATTCTGGTGTAACAATGCATATAAACAGTAAGATCTATCCAAATATATTTTTACTAAAACACTTTAAAATGAAATATGACACATTAAGGCTGTGATGATGTGAACAAATTATTAGTGTGTAGTATATTGTGAATGTTCAGTATGGCCTGTTGTGTTGAATATAGCAGTTCAGCGGTTGTTGTAATGCTGTTTTTCTCCTGTCAGTGATGAAGAGTCTGACGGATACGGCGGATTACTGGCAGGTGGACAGATGCAGCAGTGAAATGAAGATCCACTCTCTGCAGGAGCAGCTGGAGCGCTTACAGATAGAGAACGACGCGCTGCACAAGCTCTGCAGGGCCGGACAGGTGCGTCTCCACCTCTGTGCTACACCCCTGCTACACCCGCGTTAGCCTATATATCTGCGCTACACCTGTGTTACACCCCCACTACACCTGCACTACACCTGCATTAGCCTATATATCTGCGCTACACCTGTGTTACACCCCTGCTACACCTGCACTACACCTGCGTTAGCCTATATATCTGCGCTACACCTGTGTTACACCCCTGCTACACCTGCACTACACCTGCGTTAGCCTATATATCTGCGCTACACCTGTGTTACACCCCTGCTACACCTGCACTACACCTGCGTTAGCCTATATATCTGCACTACACCTGTGTTACACCCCTGCTACACCTGCACTACACCTGTGTTACACCCCTGCTACACCTGCACTATACCTATTACACCCCCACTACACCTGCATTATATATCTGCACTACACCTGTGTTACAGCCCCGCTACACTTGCACTACACCTGTGTTACACCCGTGTTACACCCCCACTACACCTGCATTATATATCTGCACTACACCTGTGTTACACTCCTGCTACACCTGCACTATACCTATTACACCCCCACTACACCCCCACTACACCTGCATTATATATCTGCACTACACCTGTGTTACACTCCTGCTACACCTGCACTATACCTATTACACCCCCACTACACCCCCACTACACCTGCATTATATATCTGCACTACACCTGTGTTACACCCCTACTACACCTGCATTATATATCTGCACTACACCTGTGTTACACCCCTACTACACCTGCATTATATATCTGCACTACACCTGTGTTACACCCCTACTACACCTGCATTATATATCTGCACTACACCTGTGTTACACCCCTACTACACCTGCATTATATATCTGCACTACACCTGTGTTACACCCCTACTACACCTGCATTATATATCTGCACTACACCTGTGTTACACCCCTACTACACCTGCATTATATATCTGCACTACACCTGTGTTACACCCCTACTACACCTGCATTATATATCTGCACTACACCTGTGTTACACCCCTACTACACCTGCATTATATATCTGCACTACACCTGTGTTACACCCCTACTACACCTGCATTATATATCTGCACTACACCTGTGTTACACCCCTGCTACACCTGCACTATACCTATTACACCCCCACTACACCTGCATTATATATCTGCACTACACCTGTGTTACAGCCCCGCTACACCTGCACTACACCTGTGTTACACACCTGTGTTACACACCTGCTACACCTGCACTACACCTGTTACACACCTGCTACACCTGTGTTACTCCCCCGCTCCACCTGCACTACACCTGTGTTACACACCTGCTACACCTGTGTTACAGCCCCGCTACACCTGCACTACACCTGTTACACACCTGTGTTAGCACTACACCTGCATTATATATCTGCGCTACACCTGTGTTACACCCCTGCTACACCTGCACTACAACTGCACTACACCTGCTACATCTGTACTACACCTGTATTACACACCCAATACACCTGCGCTACACCTGCGTCATATATCTGTGCAAGCTTTTAAAATAAAATATAACAAATTGTAAATAAATGTACTATATATATATAAAATAATACATCATGTACATTTATTTATGTCTTGTTATATATATATACAGTATATGTGTGTGTGTATGTGTGTGT